AGGAAGTTTGTTGCCACAACACAGACAACACCGAGGCTTCCCTACAGTTCTTGGTCTTTATCTGCCCCTTGTTTTGTTTCTCTATATTCCATGTGTAAATGAAATGATCAGTATTTGTCTTTCTCTTTCTGACTTATTTAGCTTAGCATAGTAGCCTCTAGGGTCATGTTGTCACAAATGACATCTTTTTCTAATAGCCAAGTAGTATCCCATTGTGCATATCTACCACATTTTCCTAATCCACTCACCTCTGTTTTGGCAGTTAAATATATTTTCCCCCTAACTATTGAAAATAGTGCAGAATGAGCATAGAAGTGCTCTTGTCCATTCAATTTAGTGTTTCACACTCTTCATATACCTAGGAGTAAAATCATGGGATCATATGGTATACCTATTTTGAAATAAAAAGGACATAATAGGATTTGGCAAGCATTGATAAACTATAGCCAACAGATCAGATGTGATTCACAACTATTTTTGTACAGCCTCTGAACCAAGGATTTGTGTTTTTTTTTTTTTTTTTTTTTTACATTTCTAAATGGTTGAAAAAGATTTTGGAGTGAATGTAATATTTATGGCACATGAAAATTACATGAATCTCAAATTCCAGTGTCCATAAAAAAGTTTTATTGGAATGCAGCAATACTTGTTGGCATGCACAGTATCTGCAGCTATTCTTGCAACACAGTTGCAGCAGAGTTGGATAATGTTGTAGGGTAGTAGCCTGTAAAACAAAACAGTATCTGTCCATCCATCCACCCATCATTTTATATAAAAGTTCTGCTATATCCTGTTTTAGACTAAAATTGACACAGGAATTTGGATATGCCTAATAGTATAATGGGAGAGAAAAAGAGAATGACATTAGAAATAAAATTCTGAGAAGTCACTGCATAAAGGGGAAGGATGTCCTAAAGGAACTGTGCAGAGTCTTATGGACTCCACCCCCTACTCCAGCTTTCTGGACCCTACACACAACTCCAGTGATTGGAAACTACAACTCCCAGCAGTACCAGGGAGAGAACTGTGAGGACCCAAGGGCAAGGCTAGCAGGAAGGAATTCTGGGACATTTGGGGGATAAATAGGGTGTGATTGCATCTCACACTCTCTTGCTTGGAAACGGCTCTCTCCTGACCTAGTGACTCGTGTGTTCAGTCAGCCTAGCGGTAAGGTATTTCAGTTACTTTGTATCCCATTCTGTTTTCCTGGGTTGTTTCCTATTCCTTTCCCCTTCTGTAAATAAACCCGTTATTGACCCTTTTGTGTGTACCTGCAGTATAACTGAATTGTGAGCGTTCAGGTGAGGCCCCACAGACAGGCAGCCCTGTCCACTCTGGGCTACCCTGTAACAAAATGAAGTACTGAAATTATTTGTGCAAGCGACACTTGCCATTTGTTATCATTTATAAATGCAAAAAAAAATTAATTTCATTTCATCTCTGAAGTGGCCTGTGAAGTAAATAGGGATTGCTTTCAGTTTCAGATAAAAAAAAAATAGATATTGAAAAATACTATATTTTGGTAAATAGTTGCATTCAAGTGTAGGAAATGATAGAGAAATACCATCAAAGAGAATATAGACATTTTGGCATATTATGAGCAGTGTTTCTTGTGTTGTTGGCAGGTTGATAACTTTAGACCCAGAGTCTTTGGATTTGTATGCTGATTCTAACACCTGAGAAAAATCACTAAACTTTTAAATACTCGGCTTTATAATCCATAAAATTAAGATAATAATACCTATCTCACAGGGCTACAGTCAAAGCTGATATTTAAATATATGTAAAGTACCTAAAATGTCACATAAGTTTTCATTGTCTTTAGCAACAAATTACAAATCAGTTGCCATTAAATTTAAATGCATTCAGATGCCAGTGATTCAGAGAACTTGTGGCAATTTACATCAGAGTTCTACTCTATAGATTTGAGCTGAGGCATATAGTCAACTCGTGATAACACAAAGATTTAACTTAACTGAGTTTTATTAAGTTTGTCAATTTCTTTGCTCACCCTACACAAAACAGTCCAGTAAGAAGTTTTTATCAGAACTTGTAAATGTCAAGCATTCTTTTAAGCCTTGTTTTGAAATTTTCATAGTGATTGAAATTGATTGATAGCATATAATAAATCATTCATAGAAGTACTAAAAACCTTCAGTAAAGGTGTCAGTCTATAATTTAATGTTTTGCTCTTGTTGTTCTCCTCGTGAGTCAGAATTCTCTAGAACTTTTTAATTTTGTAAATTATTGCCCAACTTTGGGCCCTTATCTTGTCAGAAGGAAAGGTCTGTCAATTGTAATTCACCATGTGAGTTGAGATGTTATTAAGGAAATCGAGTGCAACCGATGAGATTCCTGTTCGTGACAGGGTCAGATTCAATGTTATCCAGTAATCGACTGTGTTTCCTGCATGGCAGGTGGGTAGCAGTTGTAATTTACTGTCATTTTGTTTCTGAAGAAATATAGACAGTAGGGTTAAGTGACTCTCCTCAAGGTCGTATTGGAAATTGTTGTATTCCAAGGGATGGAATTTGGAATACATGTAATCAAATCCTTTCTTGAATAATTTTAACTAACTTTTCTTTGATGATAGTGAGGAGTTTTCTATGATGCACTTTAAAATTGTTTAACCAAAATTTTGAATTTATGTACTCTTAGATACAGACTGAAAGAAACGAGGCCCAACTGAATATATCATTTGAAAATTTCAAACTATCTTCTTTTGAAAATAAAGAAAATGATAGTGAGTAGTAGTCAAGACAGAAAATTTATTTCTATCTTTGATCTAGTCCAATGGATTGGTAGCTTGTCATTTGCATAATGTTCTTGCATATTACTAATGTAAGATATAAGTGAGCTGTGTCTTCATTTACATGCTTTGCCTTATGTCAACAGTGTAAAAATTTCTCCTCTTTCAATCTATGTATCAAGAAGGCACCTTTCTTGAGAAAAGAAACCACAAACTGTCTCCAAATCCTAAGAAAGTGTTCATCGATTAAAATTCTAATGCCATACAACTTAATTTAAGCCTTCAAATAGAAATAAGTAATGAAAATAAAACAAATTTTAAATTCTACATTTATGAATATATTTGACAAAATTCTTATTGAATAAGAAATAGCTGTCATTTATTGGACATTGAATATATGTCAAGCATCATGCTAAGGAACTTAGAGCAAACTTTAAGTCAGAAAAACCTCATTTTCTCTACTAGGTAAGAACTGAAGCATAGATAATTAATCTTAACATTTCACAGATACCGGGTTATTTTAAACTCTGAGTTAGCTTTACAAGTGTAATAACCGACAAACTTGATGTTGGGTCTTTAATTTTTATTTCATTTTTTAAAATTATTTATTCGTATAGAACTGGGGTACCGGCCAGAGATGCGGAGGGTGAGGGGATTCACCAGAGACAGAGTGGGGAAAAGAACAGGCAGATCAATGAAGTACACTGCTGAGGGGAGCAGCTGGAGGGTCAGGAGAGGTCTGCCTTGCCCTGTGGTCACCTGCACGGCAGGCAGGGATCGAACTCATGCGGAAGTGGCTTGAGCTTTTTAGTGCAGTGCTTTAACCCGCTGCGCCACCAGGGAGGGCCTGATTTTTATTTTTTAGTTAGATTTTCCATTGTTCATGCTTTGATTATTTCCATTCATTTATTTAAGCCTTTCTACTATTGTACACTATTGATTCAATGTGTTCTAAGTATTCTTAAGCTTGTATCTGGAATATTGTGAAGTTTTTTTGATGCGATTTCTTCCTTTATTTTCCCCATATATGGTGTCCTAGAAATTGGTGTCCAGAAATAGAAAGGCACTGTAGATGTCATATTCTATATGTCAATGTAATCAAATACATCGGTTTCATTTATGGATATGATTTATCCTTAAGCTATGCACAGATTCTTTTTTTGACAATATAGATGATTATATTAGCAGCCTCCTTATATATAGTATAGACAGTTTATATAAACCTATGAAATTCTGTCACTTTGGTATTATCAAATCAAGGTTCTCATTTTATTTGACACATAGCCCCAGGCTGTAGGTGCTAAAATTGTGAGTATCATAGTTTAGGAGAATAAAATTTTTGTCCTTCCTACATTTTAGATTGTAAGTGGAAATTGAGCAAATTGTCTACTATTCAAAATACTACACACAGAAAGGATAGTAATATACAGCACATCAAGCTTACTGTACTTGGTAGAATACCACTTATAGGGGATTGCGCTAATAAACCCTGCTCATAATAATTTTACTCTTCATGCCATATGGTTCTTATGACTTAATATATGTACTCACATAATTTATAATTGTGTATATTATTACTTTTTAAACTGGTATATATTCAGTGTTCATGTAAGAATCTTTATCTTTGTGTGGGTGTATATATAAGATATAGTCTTATTTCAAATAAAAAATGTTAGATTTCCATTTGTTTGCATATAAAATTAAATGAAGCATATGTTTTTAACAATATTTTGCAAATTCTCACATTTATATTAAGAAGATTTAGGCCATCGGTGGTGCTGGTTAAGACACAGCACTGCAAGCTAGCCCCTTCAGTTCTAGTTGGATCCCTGGCCCCATAGGTGACCATGGAGCAGCAGATCTCTCCTGTCCTGTCGCTGCTCCCCTCAGCACTGTACTTTGTTAATCTGTCTGTTATGCTCCCTACTCTGTCTCTAGTGAAGCCTCTCACCACCTCCACACCTCTGGCCTTAAATCTATTTGTATAAATAACCTTAAAAAAATATTTAAACATGTCAGGTGCTAAATTCTACACTGTTATTCTGAAATGTAGTATGGTATTTTTAGAGCAAACAATGATAATTCAACAGATTTTTCATATGAAGAGTAAACCTAGGAGATTTTGATTATACAACATAAATGAGAACTATGACATCTGTTTATTACTGAGCGGGTTTTATTAGCATTTTATAGTAAGATATTAATGATTTTGATATAGTGGAATGATTATAAATAGTATTATTTGTTTTAGGCTAAGATGACTCAGTTGCCTGAAGCAGAAAAGGAAAAGATTGCTGAGCAAGTCGCTGATTTCAAGAAAGTGAAGAGCAAACTGGATGCTGAGATAGAGATATGGGATGATACAAGCAATGATATCATTGTTTTGGCGAAGAAGATGTGCATGATAATGATGGAGATGACCGACTTCACAAGGTAAATATGTGGAAAATTACATGTTGCATGTGCCTAGAAACATTTGTAATGTTAGTAAAACCCCAAGTTTCTCTGAGTGGAAGACACAAAAAATCAAAAAGAAAAGAAAATGATGTACAACCCAAATGCCAAAAATAGATGACTGGATCAATAAGAAGTGGTTCATATACACCATGGAATATTACTCAGCAAAGAGATAAACTCATGCCATTTGCAGCAACATAGATGGAGCTGGAAGGGATTATGCTTAGTTACATAAATCAGAAAGAAGTGGAAGCACATTGGATGGTTTCCCTCACAGGAAGAATGTAGGGGAACCAAATGAGGAATCATGAATAAAGAAAGTTTTAATAAATTAAAAAATATTAACAGGCAACTATAAATCAAAGACACTGCAGGAGAAAATGAGGGAGAAGGGTCAAAATAGGACAAGGGACTAGGGTGGTAGTGCATGGGTGAATTGTTGGTTGGAGTTATATGGGGACTACATCTGAGAGAAGAAAGTGTACATTGTACAAAAAGGAGGATGATGTAAAATACATATAAAATTAAAAAAATAAATATAAAAAGTTGTTGATTTAGAAAATTGTTAATATGAAGTTCTAGATGTGTTGCTTATGAACAAGCATGGCAGAGTTTCTTATAAACTACCCAAAAATGCTTTTTGTAATCACGCTATACCATCCATCTTCATCTTCCTCAAGAATCTTCTCTGTGCATCATATTTGCATTTTTTCCAAACAAATTGATAATTTAACTTAGCACAGATCCCTTTAGTTACATGTACATGATCATAAATGGCAGGATTTAGTTCTGTTTTTGCAATGACGTGATATTCCATTATGGGTATATACTACATCTTCTTTACCTACTCATCTGTTGTTATAATCTTAGGTTGTTTCCATAACTTGGCTATTATAAGCAGTGTTGAAATGAATGTAGGTGCAATGTATAAGAACATGGGTGTGCATATATCCTTTGAATTAGTGTTTCTGCATTCTTTGGATAGATGCCTAGGTGTGGAAATGTTGATTCATATGATAGATCTACTTTTAATATTTTGATAAAAATCAAAACTGCTTTCCAGAGGACCTGACCAGTCTCCACCCACACCAACAGACAAGAGGGTTCCCTCATTTCCATATGCTCACCAGCATTTATTGTTTCTGGTTTTTCAATGTGGGCCTTTCTTAACAGCATGTGGTAGTATCTCATGGTTCTAATTTGAATTTCTTTGATGACATATTATGATGAACATTTTTTCATGTGGTCATAGACCATCTGCATGTCTTTGGAGAAAAGTCTATTTAGCTTTTCTCCCATAAATTACCTTACGGTTAACAAATATACACCAAATTTTAACAAAGCTATTATTGGCTTTCCGTCATTGCCTAATTCTGTAGTGATGGAGGGTAGCAAATCAACAAAATAAAGCACTTAATAAAAATAAGTGAAGTGTAAATATATAATAAACTATAGAAAATACAGAGGTCTTGATCTTGACAACACCAAGTAGAGAGAGTTTAAGCATGGTCTTGGTTGAATCTTAGTGAATCTTCACTTTTGATGGAATGAAAATGTAAGACAAATAATACTGGCAATATGCTATTGATTGAGAAGAAAGATATAAGTAAGACATTAAGAATTCTAGAGAAATAAAGAATCAGAATATATCTAAACCTCTCCCATTCTTAGCCATTCAGGAAAAATGATCTCCATTAAGGAAAAAAAATGACCTCCATTAAGGGAAAATGATCTGCATTAAGGAATGTTTACTGTATAATAATTGTGGAGGAGAAACTATGTGGATTAGATAATCTGCCTAGGGAAGAGGAAGATTCAAAACTGGGATGCAGCACTACTTACTATAAAGAAGTATATATATATATATAATATTCACAATAGCCAAGATATGAAACAACCTGGATGTTCAGTCATTGAGGCCGAATTGGATAAAATGTGATAGCTCTATTTCTAGTCATGAGAGAATATTATGCAGCCATAAAAGGAAAAGAAACCCTTTTGTTTGTGACACATGGTTGAGTGTGGAAGGCATTATGCTCTGTGAAATCAGTCAAGCAGAGAAAGTTTAAACTGCATGCAAATGCATTTGTACATGGTATGTATGTGTGTGTGTGGGGGGGTTATAGAATTCATCAGAAATAGAGGGAGTGAGGAAAGTTATGAAATGTTTTTCCTGCTCTGTATCTATATGAATGAATAGATACAGAGCATGTTTTAAAGGAATGAATGTTTTATCACTGCCATATTTTAATAAGTGAGTTGGAAAAGAATGCTGAACTCTGACTTTGGAAAAAATGTTCAGTGACTTTGAGGGTGTCATAATTGGCAGCTAAGGTGTTAGAAGAGGATTCACAACCCCACAAAGTGATAATTCATTGAGAAATAGATAACATTATTTGTTTTACAAAAGCTAAACAGCCCAAACTTCTCACAGTCTGTAAGTATCACTGCCAAAGATATCCACACATTAGGAATAGTGTATGCTTAAGTTTCAGTAAAGGAGGAGGAACAGAATTGAATTTTGGAATCTTATAATCTTTTGTGCTTGAACAAATCCACATTCAGTTTAAGTTTAACTCCTATAAATGGCTATAAATCTCCAATCGTATTAAAATTTTGTTTACTTTGTTTTACTCCAGGTCTGTTCAAGAGTTTCAGACACTGTAATGTTTTACTGAGACGTAAATTTAGCAGTTTTATGTATTGGCTATTTTCTAGGTCTACCCACATCACAATTCCTTCATTGCAGCTATTTCGGCTTGTTTGTAATGTGACCTCTGGGAATAAGGGGCATGTTTAGTTGGCAGTGCTGTATTTATCAACACACTCAATCATTTGGTGCACACTAGCCTCTGAATAGATGTAAAAATAGCTGCATATTGAAAACATCACAAAACTAAAAAAAAAAAACTATCTCTTTTGAACTGTCACAGAATGCTGTTTTCCCATATTCTTTATTTCATGATTAACGAGAAGCATAAGAATAAAAAATTTGATGAATATTTACTATGCACTACACCAGGAGGCTGCAGAGAATATGTAAGGAATGTGATTAAGAATGGAGGTACATTTTTTCTCACCCTAGGCGTCACCCACCATAGGACTTAGAATTGTATGTAAGAAAAATTTTCTCTCTATTTTCCTTATCTAAGATACAATCCCAAGAGACAGAATCCAAAATGAGCAGCAGGAGGGGGCAGAAATTTACTTGGGTCTATTTAACTAGGGCTTCAGAACCAAAGCCTTTCTGAAAAAGTCATTAGAATGTATGAAATTCATGTGTTCTAAGGATGCCTCTTGTCCTTTTGATTGTTAAGAATCTCTTTCCACGCAGTTTACTCTGTTTTCCAGAATAAAACAATTATATTTTAATGTGTATATAATGTGTGAACAGCAAAAAGCAATTTAAATGTTTGAGCCCACATAGCAAAGGGAGTACAAAATATTAGTACGTTTCATTTTTTCTCTTTTAAAAATTCTTATGATTTCATCTATAAAGGCAGAGAAATGCAGTTTGCTTTACTTGAAAAGGCTTCAGAACTTTCTTTCCCATATATAATAAGTGTACACAGAAGTGTAAATACATATAGAAGTATGTAAGAGCATAATGTATAAAATGTGAATCACTTAAGATTTTGAAAAATAACATCTGGCCTTTTAGCTTACAACTTTAGAGAAACATTTAAAATAAGTGTGATATCAGAAAAAGAGTCATTTTTTAGTGCTATACAATAATGGTTATGCTTTTTATCTCTGTTAAGACTAATTATGATGTTTTATCATTTGACTATCTTCTCTGTAAAGAATTGGTTTGATTTTATTTGTGGCATCTTAGTCTGGAATCGCTGGAAAGATTCGCTAACACCAAGGAGAAATGCTGTAAACTGAAGGAGAATCATTCTTTTTGCCCACTATGAATTACATGGAAACCAATTTCATATATTCTGAAATGGCAGTGAGAAATATTAAGTGTATATGATATCTTAGGAATTGCTTATTAGAATTAACTGAGTGAGCACAGACACATTTAACCTGAAATCTGGTATTCAATGTCTGTTGTGAATTTATCAGAGAATTTGGTGAATTGAAAATGGCATGTCAACTTCCAGCTGATAAACAGCTATATTATATGGGTCTGCAGAGTTTTTGGTGGATATAATAGAATTATACATTGTCCTGGAATACAGGAACTAAACTGTTAGAATTTCAGGGTTTTACGAAGATCGCCCAAATGAGAACATACTGAAAGTATTGATTCAGAACTTGTCTGTGGCAAAGGAGCCAGTCACCATCATTTACTTTTGGTAGAGACTCAAAGACAAGGGAGAAGAGTTTTAAAATGAAAAAAAAAAAAAAAAAAGGAAACTTCAGGTAGCTCTGATTGAAAGGTGTTAACACAGGGAACCTGCAAGCGAGGTTAACTAGAAGCAGGACATCGTATGTGATTGGTTTTAGATAGATTTTGTGCTTTATGAGTATCTCTGAATTTAAATCAGGGGCAAATTGTCTCAGTGCTAAGCATTCTGCATCATTTACCATAGAACTTGTGATTTAATTTTTTGAACTAGTTGCAACACACATTAGTCTTCAACGTTCTTTTGTTATTTTTATATTTGTGTATTTTGTGTATTTGTATATTCAGTCTCTCAGAAATGTGAGTAATAACCACTTTGAGATAATGAAGGATAAATATTTTGTATAAGCAATATAAAATATTTTTAGAGAAAAAAAGCAACTCTTGATAATCTGTATCTAAATCAGTGGTCTAATGACTTTAAAATGGTTAAAAAAAGAAATAACTTTAAAATGGCTAAAAAAAGCAAAAACAGTAAATTATTCCAATGGATGGATCTTTGAGAATATATCTAATTTTATGAGTCATTCTGGCTGATGATGAACACTTATTAAAGCAGTATGGAATTTATTTGCTCATTTGGAATACTTTGATGAGTATATTTTACAATAGGATATTTTCT